TGTTCTTGTTATGATAAGTTCGGTGGGGTTAGTGTACTTAGTTCTCTTAGACCCTGCACCTCCACAAAACTGTAATTGATTACTGCTTCGATCAATTTATGAAGTGTATGTTTATTTTATGTTCCATTGATTATTGATATTTTAGATATTGTAAGTTTAATATTGTTTGTAATTATTTTTTTTTCTTTTTTTGATTGCTTTTCGTTCTTTTTTTGTTGGGTTTATGAGGTACATGATGAGACATTTGGCCTTGTGATTTCTAGATGACTTGTTAGTCGTTGTTGGTTGGTGTCACATGTGAAATCCCGATAAACACAACCAAGTTCCTCTCTTCATTTTGTTGTCGAGGTTTTTGAAGTACTTGTCGATGGAAATTTTTTTGATGATTTGCATATACGAAATACACGAGTTTGATATTAAGTGAGCTAAAGACAACCAAAAACTGTTTTTTTCAAGATTTGTTGTCTTCTTGTAGTGACAGATTCGTTGGTTGGTATACTTTGTTCTCTGAGACCTCATGCTTGAAAAAAACTGTAATTAATTACTTATTTTAGCAATTTTAACTTTTGTTATGATTAATGCATTGTCTTTTGAATCATTCAGAAAAGATGAGCTCCAGGATTTCAAGGTCCTCTCGACGAGTGCTCTGCCACTGCAGACTACAGACTTTTCAACCGATGTCACGTCATACACATAGCTACGGTAGTAGTTCTACAGATGTCCGCGGGGCATCACAGAGAAGCGTGACTTTCTTTCGATAGGCAGACAGTCTGATAGATTCTGCTTGCAATGGTGATCGGGGTTATATTGTATTCTTGGAGGACGATGTAGCTCGTGGCATACACTGTCTAGATTTTAAAATTAATATTATAATATTTGTAATTGTAATTTTAATAATTCTTTTCTTTTTTTATCAATCTTGATACTCAGTCTTTGGTATGTATCTTGTTTTTTATACTGTTCAATAGTCGTTTTATGCTTCTCAAGCATCAAATATATTGTTATGTGAGTTCTGTTGCAAACAACATTATTGCACAGCGACATAATTATCATTTGTCCAAAAACAACTGCAAAACAACAATTTTTCAATAGCACAAACTAAACAATTAGTCAGCTTATCCGGTTCAGCTGCAGATTGATTGCTTATTTGGATCAACTGTTTATCAATAACATATTAGTAAGCTGCAGCGCATACCTTAAAATTGCGGGGATTGAAGGAGATGATGGTGCTATCCCAGATGGTGGAAAACAAGAATCAGTGAAGAAAACCAACAAAATCAACAGATGGAGCGTCGTACGGAACGAATGCAACCATGCCAATGCCGAAAGTCCAAATAGTGGAAGTCTAGAGGGAGGCTGCACGGGACATAAATAATGGACCACGACCGGGAGAAACACTCAAGTGTCTTATAGCAACAAAGATTCGGGATAAGAGAGCCAAGAGATTATGTTTTTGGTGTGTTGAGAAGTTTACTCCAGTACATCGTTGCTTGGATCGAAGATTACAAGTTCTCACCTTGAGGACAAGATGTCTTTTGGAGGGGGAATATTGTTACGAGGGCGCCTAGGCCCATTTATGTTTCGAGCTCAAAAAGTGTGTTCATGTTCGACTCGTTTACTTAACGAGCCGAACACGAGCTGTTCACGCACGTACAAAGAGTCCTCTTAACAACTCTAATCATGTAGTCATAAGACAATAAGGGTTTGAGCAAGATTTAAAAATTATTATTTATATTAAAACAACATTTGAATCTAATTTAATAATTTTTATTCTATTTTCTTAATCAATATTTTAATTGGTTATAAATCTTTGTAACCATGTAGTCAATTAGATTTTCTTAAAATACTACTTAATATATAAACTTGATGAGTAGTATTTCGAGCCAAAACGAGATGAACACGAACGAACACATTTTAGTTCTTGTTCGGCTCGTTAACTTATCGAACGAAATTAACGAGTCGAACACGAGCTTCTTAACGAGTCGAACACGAGCTGTTCGCGAACAACGAGCCGTTTTGACAGCCCTAAGCCCAAAAGCAAATTTATTTTTTGTACGCCTTAGGGAAATTTTTATTTTTATTGTTGGATATAAATTTGCTTGCTATGTCTAGGATTAGGTTTATACATGATATTGGATTGTGAGTCTTAGGTCTAGGGTTTGGGAGAGATTTCCTACCTCTGGAATTGTAGGAATTGAGAGAGATCGGCTGCCTCTCGAATTGTAGGTGCTTATCTTTTGTATTTGTGTGAGTTGTTTGGATTATTGAAGAAAATATTTATGTTTGCCCTAATTTCTGTGAAAATCTGAGCCAATTTCGACTTCAAATCATTTCATATTGATCGTATTTGAAAACTCATAAATCTTTTTTGCAGCGTTAGTGAAATCCAAATCTCGTTATTTAGTTTTTGATGCATCTCATGATTATCCATGATTTTTTTTTTGTTAGGAATCTTGATTAGAAGAACTTTAATTAGGTTCTAATATGCAGTAGTTTTTTTTTTTAAATTTCAAAATCTTAACATTTATCATTGTTATGTTGCTATCACTGGACTTATATTGAAACTTTGACATCTTCATAGAATTGTATGGTTTGTGATGGTTGTGTGGAAGCTTGGAAATTGTAGGACAGTTTTTCATAGCTTTGGGCATTTCAATATTTTGCTTAAGAAATCATGTCTAACCTTTGCTAGGCACATTTTGTAGGCAGTGTTAGACAAATTAATCACTTCGATCTTCGTTGTTTTTTTTCTCTTCATCCTTAACACCTTTTGTTAGTCTCTTTATCTAACATGATGGTTAAGCTTCTGGCCTATGTGTTATCATAGTTGTGGCCTTATATAGAATTTAACTTGAGATTAAATTTAATAATTAATTTTGAAATTGAATTTTCTTTTCTTGTACTGGTGTTTTTTAGTGCATGCAGGTATAAGAATATATGAGTAATTGGTTAATAACAAAACAAAGTGAATAAAGCGACAGTTGATTTTATACTCGTGTAAAGAGTAGATAACAACAATGTTTATAGTCTTTTTAAACTTTGTTATTTCACTTTTCTCTACCATTATTTTCCTTCTATATTTATACTCTTGTATTCTTTATGACAAATGAGGCCTGTTCAAAATTTCTCTCCATTTATTCGTGCAAAAATAACGAAGAGAAGATGAATTTGCTATGAAAATTGGAAATGGTTTTTGATGGATGTTTGGAGAAACACCTGCTTTAGATTAGGCATTGAAAACCAAAAATGAAGTGATTTGAACATATAATATACAGTATCACAGAACTGACAAAGAGGTTAGATCGAATTAATAATAGGTATTGTAAAGGATTAGTTCAAATAACTTTATATTTTGAGTTATGCAATAAGATGCAGAAAATAGAACTGATGCCTCTTGCACTAATTCAACCTGTATGATTAGGAGGATTATGATTGGGTAAGGCTATATGATGATGACGGACTAAAAAATCTTTTATGATCTTATTGCATTTGTATTTGTAGTTTTATTTTTAGTTGTTTTGATACAAGAGGCCTTTTATCCATTGTTGTTAAAGTTTCTACTAAACTGTTCCCTTAATGTTTTTGGCTTCTTAGTTTGTAGATCTCTTTTATTCCGCGGAGGCTCGTATAGATATGGATGGTTACCTAGCCTTATTGATTGGATATGATAAAATGTTTGGCTGGCAATAGGCCATATTTAATGCCTGTGGTTTACTCAAACGATCTTACTCGTACTTCATTTAGTTAGCTCTTGAATTCCTCTAAAAACTGCCGAACTTGCTATGACTATTTTTTGTCTTGTACATAATAAGGCTTGTGCCTTGTCCGCCTCAATCTCATCATGCGAACTGTTATTTATTTGAGTTTACTTAGTGATTTCTTTTTTATGAGTTGATCAGCCATCTGCTTAGGTTCTTGCCTTTTTGAGAAATGTCTGTGTGGATCCGTGGGTAAAGTCATTGTCTTCTTTTTCCTCTGCCATTATCATTTTTTTTCCTTGACTCTTTCCATTATTGTTTGTTTTTTCAAATCTATGAACATCGTGTTTTCCCCATTGTTAGTCAATTTTCACTTTTTTTCATGTGCTCTCTCTCTTTTGCCATTGCTTCCTCTATTTTTTTAGTCTTTTGTTTGGATGAATACAATTCCTTTCTTATTCTTAATTTTGTTTTCTTTCTTTTTCACAATGGTCCGTTAATCCTATCCTCGTTGTTTAGCTAGAGTTCTGACAGATTGCTTTAGTCTTGGTTGACGCAAATTTGCGTCCACCTACCCTCCTAATTAGTGTTATTAAAGTGTTGGGTTCTCTTAAGTAGATTTTACTGCGTAATGTTTTGGGCGCGAGGTGAACAATTTAGGCATATGCATGAGTAAAGTATGATGAGGAACAACTTTGAGGATATTTTTGTTGTATATAAAATGATGGCCATCAAATAAAATCTTAACATGCAGTAGTAAATCTACATTTTATAGTTGTTTTTCCAAAAATTAAAACAGCAAAATTTATCAAGCAGATTGTTTAAAGCAAAGTGATCACAGAACTGTTATGTTTTAAATGCAAACTTACAGTTTAAAACTGATGAAGTTTTTTCTCCCTCTCCCCGATCTCATCTGAAATTAGAAAGATATGTCATGCTTTCGGAAAGTTAAAGTAGAAAGAAAGACCCATGGATAGAAAGTCTTAGAACATCATGAACCATAGGCAACTTAACAAACTATAAGTTTTGGCAACACATTGTTTGCCAACTTCTGCTATCGCAAACAAATTTTTCAAAAATTTAGCGCAGACTGAAGTTTTCCACTACATTCATTTCTAAACCATTTGCTAAGTTTAATTATGTTTGCAAAAGGATAAAGTTTAATTATGTTTGCAAGTCATGCTGAACCAAACTTTATGGTATTTATTATATTGAATTAGTGTGCCATATCATTTATTTCTACGTTTTGTACATTATTATTTTAGGTTTTTCTGTTTTTATTTTAACTGGTTTGTATTACAGTTGCCCTTTTCTGAGAGGTGGAAATTACTTGAAGAAGAAGTCATTCGGCCTCGAAACAATGAGAAAAAAAATATTGAACGTGATGGAAAAGGGAGCTTAACATATAGATACGAAATGGAGCCATTTGGAGTATGGACCATGAGCTTGAGGAGTTTGTCTTTTATTTATTTATTTATTTATTTATTTTGGTATTTATATATATATATTCATATTTTCAGGTAAGGCGGAAGGATTTTTGGTTATTGTCAACTGTTGGTAAACTTTTGAAAGGGTTTATTCCTAGTCTTTCACATGCATCTGATGGCCTTATTTTCCAGGTACAAGGTTATCTTCTATGGCTACTCCGAAGTATTTGTTTTACATTTTAATTATTTAGTTATGATTTTCTTGTATATGTTTCATTTTTTGAATGAGAAACTTTTTACTTTATTTCAGACCCATCAAACTTTTTTTTTTAAATGGTTTTTGTTTTATGCTCTATATAATCTCATACTGAAGGTTATTTTGCCAACTTCTAGGATTTAATTCAAGCAGGATTTAATAAATCATAATTCCAAATTTAGTAAACCATGAGGTGGTTAGATCTAAGAAATTGTTGGTATGAGATTTGATAAATCCAGTTAAATCTTGTGGAATTGTTTGACATTTTTTTTTGTTCAGGATTTAAATGTATCTGTTTAATTTAATTTGATTTATTTGTATTTTAAATTATATTAATCATTAATTAATAACTTGTTATTTAATCTTAAATTAAAATTTTTAAGGTAAATATTCATTACTTAGTGCATCATTATTCATTAATAAGTGTAATTTGTTTCTAATTAATATAACATAAACTTTAAATATATGGTTTATTAATTTATCCATCTAATTAACGAAAATATTTGCTTAAATGATTAACAACGTTATGCTATGTTAAATTTTCTTAAATCTTCAAAAATCATTACTCAGCTAATATTTTTCTTTGATCATCATTTACTCTAATTTAATTTAATTAATAAATTACCATTTCTATGTTAACCACACCTGCTTGAGCCCAGTTTGAAACTTGAAATCTCTTTCTACTCTGTCATTCCCAATTGGAAACTTGAAATCTTTTCTACTCTCTGTCGTTCCTTCTTAAACCCTTGTCCCCTTTTCACACCTACTTGAAACCCATCTGAGACCTCAGGGGAACTTCTTGCTGGAGGCCTTAGTCGACCTTGCTTCCTTCTAGAGGCTTATCGCATGACTCGTGATGAGGCTTTCCGGCACGACAAGCAGTCGCGATGAACATTGCAAGATAAAAACTCGATGGAAGCCCATTTTATTGTTCCCGTTCTTACTCTTTACATATCCTGAATCCTGCTAATTTCTCCGAACTGTTTTACTAAATCCGGATTTATGTTGAAAATCTACGAAATCCTTATTTAGTAAATCTGAGGATTTAATATGTGGCTCAATTGATCGTCTAGGAGGATTCAAGTTAAATACTTTTTGAATCCTTCCGTAAAGTTGGTACAAGATAACCCCTTCAATTGGTTGGGCATGTGTTTATGGATTTAAACCACATGATTTTATCATCGCTAATTTTTTCATCCTGTTGCTCTCTGTTATGTGTAACATTTATTTGCATCGACATTCATTTTTCACCGAACTGATGGAGCTTAGTTAATTTGAATTGGCATATCCACTTGTTGAGAAAACCTAGTAATACTGCGATACTCAGTTTATGACAAATGGTGGACTATTACTCAGTTTAGGATTGATGTTGTATTATCCATTGCCAGATTTGTTCTGTTATTTTATTTTATTTTATTTTATTGTTTGTTTCTGGATGAGTTGTGCGTGAATTGAAGTATCTTGTCTTATCAACTGCTAGGATGCTAATCAAATTCAAATAAAAAAAAGTAAATCATTTTGCTATATGTAGTTTTGTGACGTATAATTGTGATTGCTATGAAGCATATTTGGCCTTAGAAGGTTATAATGTTGTAGAAAAACATTGTGTCGAGCACACTTCTAGCACTGCAATACATAATGTTGGAACATTCCGTTTGGGTGTGGTAGTTTTTTGTTTTGTTTTGGAAAATTCATAGACCTCCTGGGGAGTGACCTCTTTGACAAGTTTTACTTGTTTAATAGATGCGGACTATGCATCTCTTAACTGATTTTGTCCTAAAATTTGTTTTAATTTTTTCCTTTGTATCTTTATCTTTTACTTTCAATAGTCTTTCTTCTTATTTATCATTTTAGTGAAGCTTCTTTACTATTTATGCTAATATATGTTATATTGTAAGTGCTCCCAATCTTTAAGCTTCTGCTAATAGATGGATCGATAATTGTTTCACCAACCACCATAAGGTTTATTTTTGGTAGCCATAATTGTTAAAAATTAAGAATTGTGATGTCCAACTCATATCCAATGAGTGGTTCAAAGGAGGAAGCTAATTTAAAGGATAGTCAGAGGAATGGGGAATTGATATGAATTGAGCAGGAGAGGGAGACTATTGTTGAAGTGGAAAGAAATGAGGGGATAGATAAAGATGGGCGTTGAGTGAAAGGGCAGATAAAACAACATCACAAGTTAAGAGGTTGAAGGGGGAAGGGGAAGACAGAGTGTGTGTGTGTGGATCTCAATAGGTACAGCAATTGATCGCTCTGTGTGGAAGAAATCTAACTTCATTCAATTCATTTTAATAGTATACATTCTTACTCTAAGGGCCTTGTTCATGTTAATGGGAACTATAGGAAAATTACAAGCAAACAGGCTAAAAATGAAAATTAATTTAAATACAAAATAGCCAAACCCCTTGTAAATAAAAGGTGCGTATTGACGCGAGAGCTTCTTGTACAAATATTTCCACGGTATTGTAGCTGCTATAGTACAGTGGGATTCACTATTACAGGAGATGTGCCGAAATAGATCCATTTAACTTTCTAATGTTTTTAATTTTCCTATTTGTCCTTTTTATTCATTTTCTATTTTATTAGGGTTTGGAAGAGAAGTTTTATAATGTTCTTGTTTAGGACAACCGTCAGTTTCTGTTTCTCTCTTCAAGGTCTGTATTCGAGGGTTTGAGTGGTGCTCCGACTGTATCTTTTTCTCAAAGTAGTGATTATCTTCTTTGCTCCCTTCCTCATCCCTCCCACGTTCCTCCCGACCAATCCGTTCCTGCTCTATCCATCCAAGACAACAGTTGTTACTATTTTGTTTCATATAGTTTCACCCTTTCAAGTCACCTCTTTCC